GAACAACAAGGAAACAAACATTTTTGTCAAAGATATCAGAGAAATATACAAACTGAATTAAAAAGGTATTACATGCCTAGGACCCAGGGGGATAGAGAAAAAAAGCCTCAATACACAACAAGAAACCAGTCCTCAACCGCTCTCTGCACCTGCTACTGTCCTGACCCTGAGATTCTTATGTGCTGAGCACCCCCTGCTGGCCCTGGTCACAATGTGGGAGGTTTGTGTCTGGGCTCACACTGAGGTCCCCTCACTGTGTCTCTGGCACAGTAATAGGTGACCTTGTACTCGGCTCGCAGACTACTCATTTGCAGGTACTGCATGTTCTTGCAGTTGTTTCTGGAGATGGTGAATTGGCACTTCACTGAGTCTGGGTAGTAGGGGCTACCACCATTTTAGTTAAATTGCCAAAACATTACAGGCCCTTCCCTGGAGCCTGGCAGACCCAGTTCATCCAGTAGCTGCTCAAGGTGAATCTAGAGGCTACACAGGAGAGTTGCAGTCCCCTCCCACCAAGGGCTGCACCAGGGCTCCCCCAGACTCCACCAGCTATATATCCACTTGTCACCTGCAAACTCAGAGGCAGCCTGGTCAGGACACTGTCACTCATACACTCATTCTCTCACTTCTGTCCACTCACACACTCAAGGTCTCTGGTTCTCCATTATTTACCTTTTAAGACAGCCCCCAGGAAAACCCAGCTGAGCACACTCTTCATGCTAACTGTCCTTACAGCGACAAATCAGGAGTGGGCCATGGAGCAAGCACAGGGACTGCACACAGGGTCTCAAGCCCAGGGATGTGTCAATGGGGTAAGGAACCTGCCACTCACACACCTAGAGCAGACAGTGCCAGGCTGCCCCTGTGTCTCCATGGTGATTTGGCCATGATCAGGACCTGTACCTGAGGGTAAGACAGGAAAGGAGAGGCTCTGGACATGGGCTTCTACTGAGTGAAGTAGGCTACAACCCTGGGAGAATTCAGACCTCTCCATGGCTCCCATTTTCCATGTCCAGCATCTTTTTGGTCCTGTCCAGGGAATATGGTGAAAGAAACAGGAAAGACTTGAAAATTGGAGCAGTGTTCCTGTATCATTTGGGGCCTGAGACCAATGATAGCTAGCTAACTATCTATCTATCTATATTTCTATGTATCTATTATCTATCATCTATCTTTCTTTGTGAATCATCAATCATCTATTATGTATATATTATTTATCATCATTTTCTTATATTTATATCAGCTATGATACATTATTTGGTCACCTATTTATATCTATATATTATCTTTTATCATTTCCTTGTTATCTGTCAATGAAATACCTTATCTGTCTACCAGGTATCTCTCTATTTGTCTTCCCTCTGTCTGTGTATATCTATCTATCTATCTATCTATCTATCTATCTATCTATCTATCTATCTATCATCTGTGACCTGTTCCTCCCCTCCTGCTCCTGGGCAGTGCAAGACCTGGGGAAACAGCATCTCACTGTCTGGAACATGTGTCTTGTGATCCTCCTGGGCATACAGCTACCTGCTCATGCTGCTGCTGCCCTGTTTTTCTCAGCATGTCCACATCATCCACAGATAGAGAGAACAAATGACACCCTGGGGGGAACCGGAATAAGAGATCCCCAGGGAGGCCCAGATCACTGGCAACCGCGAGAAGGCCCAGCGCTCCCTTCAGAAGCTCTACCCTCTGCCCTGGGCCCACTGTTGCTCAGGCTGGACTTCAACTCCTGGGCTCAAGCAGTCCTCCTGCCTCAGCCTTCCTGAGTAGATGGGAATAGAGTAGTGTGGGAGATAATTATGAAAAATGAAGCACTACTGGAAATAGTCCTCATTGCGGAACACCATCAGGTACTAGTGATCCCAGCAAATCCCACTGCACAAAGGACAGCATATCCTGTAGTGGTGAAAGTGGAAAATGCTATACCAAAGACCAAGTAGATGGAGTTCTCAGCATTAACAAATGTAAAAATTACTGTGAAGTACTTGGAGTTACAAAAGATGCTGGTGATGAAGATTTGAAAAAAGCTTATAGAAAGCTTGCTTTGAAGTTTCATCCAGACAAAAACCATGCATCTGGAGCAACAGATGCTTTTAAAAAGATTGGAAATGCTTATGCTGTTTTAAACAATCCAGAAAAACGAAAACAGTGTATCTCACAGGCAGTGAAGAACAAGCATACAATCACCAAGCCAATGGCAGATTTAATTTCCATAGAGGCTGTGAAGCTGATATAACTCCAGAAGACTTGTTCAATATATTTTTTGGTGGTGGATTTCCTTCAGATAGTGTACACTCATTTTCAAATGTCCGAGCTGGTTATAGCCATCAACATCAGCATTGACATAGTGGACATGAAAGAGAAGAAAAAGGAGAGAGGGAGGTCTTTCTGTGTTTATCCAGCTGATGCCCATTATCCTACTGAACCTTGTGTCATTATTAGCCAACTGGTGGTCTCAAATACTCCTTATTCCTTATATCCCAGATCTGGATCAGAGCAAACCATTAAAATGCAAACAGAAAATTTGGGCCTTGTTTACTACATCAACAACGACTTTAAAAATGAATATAAAGAAATGTTATTACCAAAGGTTAAAAAAAGAGTGTAGAAGAAGATTATATGACTAATATTCGAAATAATATCTGGAAAGAAAGCAAAAAACAGATATGCAGTATGCAGCAAAAGTGTACTGTGATGATCGACTCCGAAGGAAGGCAGATGCTTTGAGCATGGACACCTGTAAAGAAGTGGAGCGGCTCACTAGCCTTTATAAAGGAGGATGAACTGGAATTTGTATTTATACCTTTCAGCATGCTCTTCATCTCTTCTGTGAATTTAATTTTATCATGAGAGCTGAAAAAAAAGATTTGATATTAAAAACTGAACTGAATAGTTTGTTCCTGAAATCTTGGTCTGCTTATGACCTATTGGTTCCTTTAAATAGTAAGAACTGAGAACTGAAATTAACATTTATGTTTCTGCAATTATTTTCATTTTAAAAGCTTATATGATTCCTCACTAAAAATGCTTTGAGAAAGGATTCTCATACCTGTAGCAATTCAGTTTTAGTGATTCTCTCTTTTCCCTCATGTAAATATTTATGGAATGATGATTTTGTGTACACACAGATTATTGCCTTTTATTTAAATTCTTTTAGTGTTTAGCTCCATAAGACATTTCCTTAAAAAAAAAAAAACTAAAGAGTCCACCTTGAATGTTACAACTGACAAACTGGTAAAGTCACAAAATACAAAGTTGTCATACAAAATGTGACATTTTTATACATTTTTTACATAAAGTAACCATGTTGTGGGCTGGGGATGGGGCTCAAGAAGTAATGAACTCGCCTGGAATATAGGGGCATTGGGTTCAATCCTCATAAAAATAAAATAAAAATGTTGTGTCAACCGAAAACTAAAAAATAAGTATTTAAAAATTCTGTCTCTCCTCTCTCTCTCTCTCTCTCTCGCTCTCGCTATCTCTTTAAAAAAATAGTAATCATGTTGAGAAATTCAAGAAATAGTCCTATTCAAAATTGCTACATAATTATCTATAATTAAATTATCCAAAAAGTGAAATACATCCATTAGGTAAACTCAAAATTTGTTTAAAGTAATTGAAGATGAAATACAGAAAAAGTGGAAAAATATCCCAATTCATGGAATTGGAGTAAAAATACTGTTGATTGTCCACACCCATGAAACCACCTGAGGATTCAATGCATCCTTTGCCAAAGTTCCTGTGACATTCTTTACAGAAAGAGAAAGCATAAACTTAAAACTCACAGAGAACCAAAGGGAAACTGAACATGCAAAGCCACCTTCACCCAAAATAGCACTGCCTGGTCTCATCTCTACCTGCATGTCAACATGTACCACAGGTGACAGCAGCCTAGAGAGCTGGCCCTGCACTGAACCCACACACAGATGCAAGGAGATTTTGATGACAGGGTGCAACCACACACATGTAGTCCACAGGGTCTAGCAAAAAGTTCAGGAATCCTTACTGGAAGGATGGTTCTTTACTGAATAGCTCTGGGAAAACTGCACAACCACAGGCAGGAGATTGGAATTAGACCCCCCACTCTCACCAGGTAAAATCTCAGCTCCAAATCAGTGCAAGACCTACACACAGGTCCTGAGATGTCAAAGCCATGGAAGAAAACCTAGGAGACACTGAAAGGTGCTCACACAGGAGGAGAATTAGATAAGAACCTAAAAACAAAGGCCAAAGAGTAAAAGTGGACAGATCAAGCAGCAGGATTCTCCACAGCAAAGGAAGCTACTGAGTAAGGAGAAAATCTACACACTAGCAGAAAATTTATTTGGAAACCTGTTGCTCCAACAAGGGTCAGAAATGCAGAATGAGTGGGAAAAGCCAACAGTTCAGTAGCCAAAGATAACATAGAGCAAATACCCCACAGTTTACTGCACTTTGGTAAATTACCTATGTTCACATCTCTCAAAGATCACATAGACATAACACAAATAACTTGTTAAATGCTCAACATCACAAATCACCAGGAAAATGCAAACAAAACCACAGGCAGATTTCAACCCTCCCTAGTGAGATGGCTCCTTGTAAAGGAGGAAGATAACAAATGCTCACAGTGGAAGGGGTCAGGGTACTACTGGGAATGTAGACTGTGTCATGGAGAACACTGTGGAGATTCATCAGAAATAAAATCAGGTCTCGCCCATGATGCAGCCACCCAGGTACTAAGTGTTTTTCCATAAGAAAAGTAATCTGTACATCAAATAATTATTTGAAAACCATTGATTATTGAAACACATTTCACAATCAACAAAGGAGTCATTCAGGGGTAGATGGATGAAGAACATCCACTATGCATAGACCAGGAAATATTTTATAGCCAAAAGAATGGCATCCTGTCCCTGCTGGCCCTGGGCATGGCCCTGGAGCACATGGACCGAGCTGAAATGGGTCAGGCAGAGGGAGACCATCACCACACCATCACTCATGTGGGGAAGCTACTGCATCAGGTCCTAGAAAGAGAGAGGACAGTGGCCCTGGAGATGGGAAGGTGCAGGGAGGGCGAGGGTGAGGGTGGTGGTGAGGGCCACGTGCAGAGAGGGCCCTGTCCTGGGGCTCTGCAGCTCACAGGGCACCTGTGGCCCACAGCCAGGCTGTGCTTCACAGCGACTGGGGCAGAGCAGCTGGTGGTCTCCCCACACCCAGGAGGGACAGGTGATGGACAGCTGGTGTGCCCAGCCTGGGACCTATCATGGCACCTGGCACCCCTGGTCAGGGTGCTGTCCTCTGCCTCATAAGACTTTACAAGGTTTTAATGTAATTATGAAAATAAAGCTGGAATCACCAGCTGTGTGTCTGATGGGAAGAAATGGTGACATTCACAGTGATGTTGATGATCAAACACATCATTATTTATTCAGATCCTTCAAAATGTATTACACTCTCAAGTCCTAAATCTAATTTGTATAAGTACGTCCATATATTATACTCAGAGAAACAGGCTTAAGCAATCAACTACAGGCTATCTGCAAGTTAGGGGCATCCTGTTTAGGGAAAGTAATCCCAGCATCCACCTGGGCAAGGAAAGAACTGTGTGAGAATGCAGAGCAAGTCCTGAGGTTTCAGTGAAGGAAAGAAGCAGAAATCAAACCATTGGGGGAAATAAATCACTCAGAAATGCCCTCTGAATGCAATGTGTTTTTTTTTTGTCATTAAAACACCAACATTTGTACAATGTACAATAAGAACGTCAGAGACATATAACAAAGGAAAACTGTTGTGTTTGCTTTTAGTATGACCAAACATATATAATAAATTGAAAAGATGATGACAGGCAGAGAAATTTAAGATATACAAGGTACACGGAAAAAAATGCTATGTTATAAAATTGTGTATATGCATTTAAAACTACATCAAAATGAACTACACAATTTTTATTTTTTTAATGCACAAAAAATTAAAGAAATTTTTTAAAATGAGATTGTTAATGATATATATAGAATTGACAAGCATTGTTGCAAAATTTAATACTATAAATTTTAGCCACTAGCAAACTTTATATTTAAAATCAGTGCCATAGCTGTTAACTGGCCCATATTTTTCAAATACTCCCAATAATTTAATATTCTGGAATGAACCTGGAGTAGCTTAGGATGATCTGGGATATCAAAATTGCCACTGTTCATCTTCACCCAGACTGGAGCTGGACTTTCAGGACAGGGTAGACACTGGTGTGAGTAGTAACAGAGCCCAGGGTGTCCCTCTCTGTGACCCTGCATCCAGCCACAGTGGCTGGAAACCCAGGCAGGCTCCAAGCTGCCTCTCCCCAGCAGGTGTCCTGGGGCTTCTTGGACTTGGGGTCACCTCACTCCAAGATGGGAACAGAATGGTCCTGAGCAGAGCATGTCTTCAGGGACCTGGGGCCAGTTTCAGAGCCACCTTACAGCTCCCACAGTCTCCTGCATAACTGGCCACCCTCCCTCCTGGGTCTGTGCCTAGGGAGCCCCTTTCTCTTCAAGACCTTTCTCAGGTTACCCCTGTCCACAGGCCACACAGAACTTGGAGCCCTGGGTTTGGGAATTGGGTGTCACAGAGCCTCATCACTAGGATAGACAGCTCACATACATGAAAGTTTATTCTGAATATGCATATTTCTGTGCATTTTAACTGGGTTTAGGCCTTTCTATCACTGCTTCTCAGTTTCGTACACAGCCATTTGGTTCCAATGGCTGAGGACACAGCCACCTATTACTGTGCCAGAGACACAGTGAGGGGACCTCAGTGTGAGCCCAGACACAAACCTCCTGCAGGGTGCCCATGGCCAGCAGGGGTCGCTCAGCACACAGGGTCAGTTCCAGAGCAGGTGCAGAGGGAAGTATTGTGGGTAGTATTGTGTGATGGCTGGAGGTTTGGCAGCTACAATGGTATCTAACAACTAATTGCCTTGGAAAATTTCTTTTTTAACAGAAGAGAAAACAAAACTGACTCCAGACATTGCCAAAGTTGCCAGGGGTGAAAGGTTCTGGCAGTATGTGGGCTCTACTGTAACGTGTTCTATGACCTGACCCATAACAGGAAGCACACTGAGCAGATTGGGAGTGGGAAGGTGTCATGGGAGAGAACAGGGGATCCATCTGAGCATGGAGGGGAGGAGACATGGCATAAAATGTTTATAAAGTTATCCTGGACATGGTAGAGCTCACCTTTAATCCCAGGTACTCGGGATGATGAGGTAGGAAGATAACTAGTTCAAGACCAGCCTGGGCCTCTTAGAGAGAACCTGTCTTAAAATAAAACTGAGGCAGGGCTAGGATGGAGCTCAGGGTAGGGCCCCCTGATATGAAACCCTGGTACTTAAAAGATAAGTTTATAAAGTTTACGTTGCAGACACTGGGCAGAAAATATCATTAAAAAATTAATGTGCGCGGCGGGGGCTGGGGTTGTGGCTCAGCTGTAGAGTGCTCACCTAGCACATGCGAAGCCTTGGGTTCGATCCTCAGCACCACATAAAAATAAATAAATAAAATAAAGGTTAAAAAATTAATGTTCATCAAGAAATATTATTCAGTAGCCTGTACTGAGCAAGAGAATTTCATACAAGCCTGATTTAGAGAAGGACAAACTTCTGAGATTCTGAGACAGGAAAGATGTAAATAATCTCTATGCAAGGTAGTGTTAGGGGGTGTGCTGGCTGGAAAGAAACCTCAGGACACAAGGGGAACTTCACTTTCTTCCCTCTGCACCTGCTCTGGAACTGACCCTGTGTGCTGAGCGCCCCCTGCTGGCCCTGGGCGCCCTGCAGGAGGTTTGTGTCTGGGCTCACACTGAGGTCCCCTCACTGTGTCTCTGGCACAGTAATAGGTGGCCGTGTCCTCAGTGGTCAGGGAGCTCAGCTGCAGGGAGAACTGGTTCTTGGACGTGTCTCTGGAGATGGACACTCGGCTCTTCAGGGATGGGTTGTAGTTAGTATCACCATCATACCATATGCGTCCTATCCACTCCAGCCCCTTCCCTGGGGGCTGACGGATCCAGTGCCAGCGGTAACCACTGGTTGTGATGGAGAATCCAGAGACAGCACAGGTGAGGGACAGGGTCTGTGAGGGCTTCACCAGACCAGGTCCTGATTCCTGCAGCTGCACCTGGCACAGGACACCTGGGGACAAGGACAGTCACACCCTGTTAGTCACCTGCAGTCACAGCCTCCCCATGGACCCAGGTCTGTCACTGGGGACACTCACCTTGGGGAGCTGTGACCAGGCACAGGACAAGAACCAGCAGCCTCATCTTCTAGACCACACCTGCCTTCCCATAGACCTCAGCCCTGTCTGAGCAGAGAGCTGGGAGCTCCCACAGCCCAGAGGGCCTTTGAACCCAGAGCAGGAGGAGGGATTTGCATGTGGGTGAGGCTCTTCTGATATCTGGAGAGGCTGAGGTCAGGCTGCCCAGGTCCTCTGTGCTCCTGAGATGTGTCCCTGACTTGAACCCAGGTGGAGCTTTACCTGTGAGAGGAGAGCAGGTGGTTTCAGGAGAGCGGGAAGGCTGTCAGAGGGGGAGCCCACCCTCCTGAGCCCAGCCCTGCCTCCTCCAAGCCCTTCCTCCCTGCACCTGGGAGGGTCTCAGAGTGGCAGGAAGGTGCCCAGCATGCAAGAGGCCCAGGTTCACCTCCCAGCCCTGAAGGAGAAGCCCTCAGTGATGACTGAACAGGGCCCAGGGCTGAGGATGGGGTTCCCCACATCCAGGAGAAGAGCCCCCTTTGTTCTCAGGACTAGTTCTTCTCTGTCATCTCTGTGAGATTTGGGGGCTGTAGACTGAGCAGGAGAGGAGGGAGCAGGGTCTCAGGAGGGGAGGGGCTTCCTGCTGTGTGCCCACTGCCCTCCCCACCCTCTGTCCTGCTTGTCCTCCTGACTGTCCAGCCAATGCCTGTGGACAGCAGTGGGTGGGAATCTGCCCTGAGCTCCTCCCCTCACCTGTCCTGCCCTCTGGTCTCCACCAGGAGAGGACAGGAGGGAGGTGCTGGGCCAGGTGAGAGTCCTGGGAGCAGAAGCAGCTCTCAGCTGTAGCTTGAGGCTAAGAACCACTGATTTCACTCAAGCAGCACAGCTTGGCATCAGACGGAGCAGGCATGCAGGGAAGTCTGGGGTAAGGGAGGGAGCTCCAGGTCCCCTTCCCTGTGGAGCATCACTGCAGTGAGACCTGCCTTGTCCACAGCCCAGCATTTGAAGAGAACAGTGGACACTGTCTTTAGTGAGGTGTGGTCACTGAGAGGGCAGGTGTAGTTGCTGATCTCTTGATGAGGATTCAGGAATTTATCTCCTTCCTGAGTGAACATAACATATTAATAAGACATATAGGCTCCTCTACCTACTCACTCTGGTGTTAATCGTAAATTCACTGAAAACACTGACCCCTGGTCCTGGGGTGACTCAGGTAAGACCTTGCTCATCTCCATGATTTTACCACCTAAATTCATGAGTGCCATCTGGTGAAGTGCCCATGTCCTAGAAAATCTTCTTATTTAAAACGCTATTCTTCCAGGCATACCAAAGGGGAGACATCTTCAGATGATCTTAGCCCTGACCTGGGGAATCTGGACTCTTCTTTACGATTCTCATTCCCACTTCACCTGTGCCAGGTGTGAGACAGTAGACTCCATCCTGCAGGGCTTCATATGGCCCTGCTTGAGGTAAAATTTCCATCCAGTCTCACTTAGGCTGAGCTCTGCATTTCTGTTATGATCAAGGTTCATGGATTCTATATCTTGTCTCTCAATTCTCCTCCATGAGTTCTGCAGCCAGGACTCATGTTGCTTTGGAACTTTTCTGAGTGGCCTCCTTTTCAGCTCAGATGATTCTACTCTACTTTGTGAACGTTGAAGAGTGCTGACTAAATAAGACAGGATCCATTGCCAAGATCACTGTGAGTTATAGCTGAAGAAAAATTTCCTGTAACTCATTTGCTTTCTGTCAGCTTATTTCATCCTTCTTGCCCCTGGGAAATTCTTTATGATGAATGCAAACAACCAAAGCAAAATTCACAGACATTGCAGGGAATGTGGCCCTCCAATGTGGTCAGAAGAAATGTTGTTCTTAACAGAAGACAGTAAAACAGGATACAGTGAAGAATCCTCCTGGGATTTGGGTGTGGGTGGGAAATGCTTTCTCAGGCAGCTCATGTTATGGAAAACTGCAAAACTACAACAGCTTCAAATGTGAGTTTGACCTGGCTCCTAGGGCTGAGCAAGTCTGACTTGGCGTCCAAAGCTGAAACACTCTTGCTTTAGAAGTCTGGAGCAAGGCAATCCTCCTGTTCTCATGTTCCTATGATGCTGCTTCAAATCCTTAGGTGTGCCTCTTTCTCTGTGTGCACAGAAAATAAGGAGAAGGAATCACACAATATTTAAAATTCTTTAGCCTTATTGGTATAGTTATCAAGGCTGAGAATTTAATGTTGAAATTCATGAATATGTTGAACCTCACAAGTACATGGGCCCAGAGTAGGAAAACTTACTGATAATAACATTTAACATTTAAGAACTGCAATCAGACAGAGAAATTGGAATTTGTATAATTAGACAAAATATCTTAATACAAACACTCCTCTGGACAGTTATTTACCTTATCCTAGGGCAGAGCTACCCTTGATAGCCCTGAGCTCCTCCTCCTTGTCCTGAGCTCCCTGAGTCCCCTGAGTCCCCTGCTGATTCTGAGATCCCCCTGCT